ATCAAGGTTTCAGACAGGCACATTAAGCCCTGGGTCAAGGTGGGAACCATGTGTTATAGTAGGGCTCTACCTTCTGTATAAGACCCAGCAGTTGCTGAACAAAAACTTCCCAAATCAGCTCACCCTCAACATGTGTTCTTCTAGATCCTCTGGGGTTTTTATTGTGGACAAGAGAGACAGTATGACAAAAAACCAACTGAACCAGGCATGTAGTCACTTCAGTGCTGTATCAAGGCCCTCCTCAAATTTGAGGGTAGTTTTATTGAATTACTGTTTTTATAATTTGAACATGAGTACAATTTTTTGAGATTTTTTCTGTTGAATATCTTTTTTTTTTATATTTATATTCTCAATTACACACACACACACACACACACACACACACACACACACACACATATATATATATATATATATATATATATATATATATTATACACACACACACACATCTATATATATATATATATATATATATATATATTATACACACACACACACACACATATATATATATATATATATATATATATATATATATATATATATGTGTGTGTATTACCTTTTATGTTTATATAGTTAATGTGTGTGGTTGTGCCTCTGAAAAAGAAGGAAAGAAATTTTACCTCGAGGAAGGGATACCTGAAATTCCTGTTACCTCTGTGGCAATAATTTCGTTCTGATATGGCCATTGGCATTTGTCATGGATCACACGTATTCCTTTCTATTAAATTATCTTTATTGATCAATGTAAAAAAAAAAAATCATTATCTCTGTGGTATCACTCTGCATTGGACATTAGATCTAAACTCTACCCATAGAAAAAATGAAAAATACACTTAGATGCATATGTGTAAAAAATTACTTGAACACAAAGTGTGTGATGGATAAATTGTTGTCTAAATTAAGCAAAAATGAAAATAACACTGATATCTCATTTTAACAGATATATTTCCCAAAATTATGCAAAAAATATCTTGAAATAGTAAAGAGCAAATTTGTCATTGGCTTCAACCACCTCTGGACAATTTCAGAATCTCCTGCAACTCTTCTGGATAGTATCCTTGTTTAAGTTGGTGAATGCTGCCATAATCCTTGCCCTCAATTCATCTTTGGTGTTACAAGAAGTTTTGTTGGCCTCTTGCTCAACTGTACCCCATACATAATAATCAAAGTGGGGTTGCAGTCTGGGGAGTTAGGTGGCCTGATGTAAGGGGTGATGTGGTCACAGAAATTGTCTAGGAGCCATGATTGGGTTCTCCTGTTTGTGTAGCATGGTGCAGAGTTCTGCTGTCAGACATAGGGTTTTCCAGCAGCCAACCTCTTGACCCAGGGCAGCACTACCTCCTCAAGGTACTTCATATAGAGCTCTGTGTTGAGTGTGAGGCCGTGCGTAAAGATGAATAGAGGTATAACAATTCACCATTACTAGTGATTATGCCAAACACCTCTGTAATCACCATTAGACTCATCCAACTCTTTCTGAATCCTTTACACTTTTCTCAGATTGACACCCAAACACTCTGAAATCTTCATATTGAAGAACAGCATGCCAATTCTAAATTTCTGGCTGAGTGAATTGAGTCAAGGTGCTCTTCTTCTCACAGATGGTGCCCAACGGACCCTACTATACTGTGTAATTGACAAAATCACAAATAAACAATGCATATGTGAAAAATTAAAAATATAAAATAGAGACAATTTACCCATCGCACCTTTATATATTGAAACTTAGATATGTATATAATATATATATACATACACACACACACACATATATATTTAAAGAAAAACAGACCACTTTAAGGTACCATTACAGGTCTGTTTTTCTTTAAATATTAGCTCTGTTCTTCACATTGAGCTCTCAAGATTTCGTCCTCCTTGGATTTACCAATTCGGTTTACCAAGTTCTTTATAACTTAACTATATATATATATATGTGTGTGTGTGCGTATGTGTGTGTGTGTGTGTGTGTGTGTAAGATGTTATCTCTCCAGTTAAGTAATACTAGTTTTCATCACCAAACTGAATTATTATCTTTCAGAATGAGTTTGATCCACGCCTGGTGGTTCTCTCTTGAAGCTTTGTGTCAGTTTAGCTAACATTGCATCAGTTATAATCTAGATAGGTGGGAAGAAAGAATAGGAATGATTTTACAATAATAATAATAATAATACCATGAAATATAGGGTGCCTTGTTGCATGGTGGCTGTTGGTCATTAGTAAATTTATCAAAAAAAACATTTTTATGATTGTTATTTCAGTCTTCACTGAATGCCTTGTAACTGTGGCCTTGTTTCAGATGTAAATAAGTACATTAGATGGAATTATCATTGTGGATTGTAATATTCAGGTAAACCTATTCATTAGTCCCACCAATTCACACCTTTTATAACAAGGACACGTTTGCTACTTCCACAGAGTTGAATCATCCTCATTTCCTCTGTTTTCCAAATGTAAGAAGAAAATTCTATTCACACAGATTTTTCCCAAGAACTGCTCTTTTGTGGAACTAACTCCCACGTGGATATTTTCCTGAACACTACAATCTTAACTTCTTCAATTTAAGAAAATGTCTGTTGATATCTATCCTCCTTATCTTTATGATCTGCACTTCATACCACATAAACATCTCATCATTATCATTTTAATAATAATCATCTACCCTTAGTGGCTCTCAAGCCTTGTATTCAATATAAAAATGTAGCAGTTAGCAAATGTTTTTTATTGACCATTAATACTTAAGCATATTAGATCTTCACTTGGTTCTCAACCAGTCTGGCCTTGTTATAGGCTTAGAAAAATGTTGTAAATGGGATCATCACTTTGGAATAGTGGTTAGCACATATTTCCAATTTACCCTTACTACTTATGCGAATTTAATCCTTATTGGCTACTCCACTTACAACCACATTACATTGAAACACTGGTTCCTGAACGATCACTGATGTTAAGCAACGTTGAGTTTGGCCATTATCTCAATGGGTGACCACTTGAAAATACCAGGTGCTGTAAGTGTGGATGTTCTGGTGAAATAAAGGCTTGGAATTGTTAATTGTAGTGCCGAGTTCCAGTTCTCAGCAGGTTTGTTATATTCAGTTATGTGTGAATACCTTTGGGAAAGGTATGAATCTGCATCTCCCCCCCCCCAGCTGTGGGTTAATTAATAAGACTTGTATCACTGAACCATTATTATCTCAAAAAAATTCTTACAATCTAAAAATATTTTCTGGCTTTAAATAACCTGCAAAGAGTTGATAAGCCATAAAAATGAATCACTCAGTCAGCCATTGGGTACTCCACAACTATGACTTTGTTGTAACCTAGGGAAGGTTACTGAATAGAATAATCAAACAAAAGTTGGTAATTAATGATAATACTTAGGACAAGAACAACACATATAAGATTTGCCAGCAGCATGTAGAAGTAGTAGTCAACTGCTTGAAATGAGTCAAGTGAATTCCACAATGAATCACTAACTGCAGACCAACATTCAGTATTTACTACTGTATTTATTTGAATGGGGACATACCCATTATAAGCTGTAGGTATGCTACAATAGACTTTATAGCAGACTCATCTGTGCTTAGTAAAGATTGACCCAATTACATGAGAAATATTGCAAAAATATTATTATGATAAGAACTATTATATAAACCGATGTTAAATTAGAGTGAAAAACATTTACAATCACTTGAAAATAAAGAGAAACAATGTATGAAGAAGCAGGTTCTATTAACCTTTATTAAAAGTTTCATGTTACTTGCATGTACCAGTTTAAAGTATTTCTCTTCAGAAAAAGATACACTTAAAGACAAAGTTGTTTTTGTTTTTTTTACGTAAGGAAAATCTTTTCATTATTTGGGATTCTCTCTTTTTATTCAAATTATTCTTTGTTTCTTTCATTGTTTTATGGGAAAATTTAGTTTCAGGATTATTTTGTCATGTTTTCATCTGATACCATGGATTTATGAATTTAATTACCAATGTATTGTTCCTTTTTACTTATAATAATTAAATTTATTTCCTTATATTTTATTAACATTATGTTTCATTATTAATATTATTATCATTAGCATCTTTATTCAGAGCTAATTCTGTCTTTAAGGTCTCCAGCAACAAATTGACATGATTTGTCTTTTTCTTTTCACTGACACTTATCTTTTTGTTGATTTTATTTTTATCATTTTTATTTTTTTACCAAAAATTCTTTGATTTCAAAGCAGGTGTTGAAATGCAAAAATACCCTTCAGGTATCTTTGACTGTCCACCTCAGAATACTCTGTTTGTTTATTTATATAAACAAATGACAACACAAAAACTTAATTAGTGCTTGGGGAAGACAGGTAACAATAAAGTATACTTGCAACCTTACGCAGTTAAGATAATAAGTTAGGAATCTTATACCTGTAAGCAAAATATCGGTGAGGACAAAGATATTAGAATCTTTGTTATTGTTGATGCTATGGGTTTATGAATTGCTCCTTACAAGTTTGCTGTTTCTGTAAAAGCAACGGGAAATGACACAAACTTAGGTTGGGGTACTGAAAAGTTCTTGACATAACCAATTCCCGAAATTTAACCAAATAACAATTTTTTTATAATCACTTCTTTTTTTTATATTATTGTACCCTATACCAAGAGATAGATCTAGATAGAGTGTTATTGAATATTTCATTGTAGGGACATAAAGGAAGAAAGTAATAACTGCATATTATGGTGATATGTAAGATAAATAATTGACTGATTTGTTTTCTACAGCTTATCAACCATTTGCAGGTTATTTTTAGATTGTGATAATATTTTTCTTTTGGAGATAATAATGGTTTAGTGACACAAGTCTTACTAATTAACCCATAGAATGGGAGAAGAGGTGGATTCATACCTTTTCCAAGTCTATTTGTGCATAAATGAATATAACAAACTTTAATGGAATTAGAAATTGACTCTCCAATAACAATTCTGAGCCATTATCCATTATACTACCTGCACATCCAAGGTTACAGCACCTGGTATTCCCAAGAAGTCACCCATCTAGTTACTAACCAGGCTTGATGTTGCTTAATTTCAGTGATTATATGGGAACCAATGTTTCAAGCAGGATGAATAATGATTGACACTATGCTTGAAAAGGTTAAGGTTGTGATCAGAGAATCATCATCTTGAGAGGCTGTTCCACAGAGTAACAGTTCTGTGGAACTTCATCCTTACATATGGTATATGGAGAGAATGAGGATGAGTCAACACTACATATGTGGCATGGTGGGTCCTAGTTGTAACTGGTGACCCTAAGAAATTAAGGTCATTTTAATATTTACTATGGAAATAGTGATGGAGTAACAAGCGGTTAGCAATATTTCTTCTTTAGGAAACTGGTTGAAGAGTTGAAAATAATTCATCACCCACAAGGACATGTAAACACTTTTGAACTCTTTCAAGTCTGGATGGTGAGAATTGCATGGCTCCAAACTAGATATTACAGCAACCATCAATCCCTGGTACAATCCTTAATAGCAACTAGCCTAAAAGTATGATTGCCATGGGCAGAGTATATGATAATTTTAAAAAATTTTTAGAAGGACTGGAACTAATTGCTAAGAATCAAAAAGAGACAGCTGAAATTTGGGGGGGGGTGAATGTAAAGAGAAAAGAAGGCTGTGAGAATATAATACTAACAAGACAAGAAAAACAGAGGAAAGCAATTAGAAAGCTACTTCACAAATTGAAGAAAAATGATGAAGGAATAAGTACCAAAGTCAAAGATTATCAAGGATCAACTATTTTAGAGAAAAAAACAAGCTGTGGAGAGCAATGATTGCTTTTATCCTGAATATCATGGCATATAGAGAGAATAGTATTTAAAATGCTGTATTTGCTGCAGTATATCTACATCTGTGTGTGTCATGTACCTTCATGACATGGCTAATTATGACTCTCCACAACTTCCTATCCTTAATAACTTTCAGTAATGTTTGTCTTTCTACTATCCCTTCAACTCACTGTTCCGTTTATTCAGATAAGCTTAGTTTGCCTGCTCCTTCCCCTAATCCTAACCCTAACCCTTATTCCCCTTGTTTCTTTTGGCTTTGATATATCTTGTGTTAAATTTTCTAAGCTCTTCTTACTTAAGATGTGTCCCAGAAATGTATAGATCTCTTTTTGATTCTGGTTTCCTAAAAATATCTTCATTTCTTCAGTTTCTCTCCATGGATCCATGTACTCAGCATCATGTAGTGCTACTTTTATTTTGCCTCAAATCTTCATCTGGGAAAAAATGTCTAGCATTAACTGCCATATAGGAGGATTTCAATGCATCTTTGGATTTCGGTGTCACATTATCCATACTCTGTTAAAACACTTCCCAGATATGTAAAGTTCTCTACTTGTTTGGTTTCAACATCTCCAATTTGTATTTTGTTAGGATTAGTTTTTTTCTCTTGCTGACAATTATCCATTCTGCTTTCTTACATTCTCTGTCTGCTATCTACAATGTGTCATAGGTATATCAGATATTGTTAATGCTGCATTAGGGACCTTGGATTTCTGAAAATGGATAATCCCCTGGGATGTTTACAAACTTCAATACAAAAATGCTTATAGTGTTACAATTATGTAAAATATTGCCATACTGCTGAAAAGATAATATAACAGGCAATCTCTGTTACAATATACTTTACATCAAAACTTGAACTGAAGATATAATTATTCATTGAAATCAAAATTATAACAAATTTGTTGCATAAACATATGTTGTAAAATGGAGGTGAAGCACATCCATACAATAATAGAGAAAGGTATTATTCATCAAAAATAGTAACAATATACAGGGTGACCCAAAAAAACGGGAACTTTTTAACAATCCAATAAAACCAAAAGTGATGGAAGAAAAATATTTTATTTATAGTAATTAAAACCTTAAAACATGCCATTTAAGAAACAATGATGGAATTTTCATTTTTTTAAAATTATGTCCTGTAGATGGCGTCCTCCTGTACGAATGCATTCTTGAAATCTGCTGTTGAGATTCCTCATTGACTGTTACATCTCAGCTGGGATACTGTGAATTTCATCTTGAATTCTAAATGGCAAAATGTTTACTTGCTCAAGGTCACTGTCTCGCAGTGTTGCCACTTGCTCATGTCTGGCAATATGCACTTCAAAAATTCCCATTTTTTTGGGTCACCCTGTATTACCATGAACTGAAATGGAAAGAAAAATCAATGTGAACTCATTCTATAACCATTACTGTTCATTCTGATTCACCACTGGTTACTACATTCTCACAATTTGTACAACTGATGAAAAACTTACCTTCATTAGTCAGGTGGAGTGATAGGACACTCTGAAGAAGACAAAGTGACATCTGCCTACCATGACAACTAAGTTGCAGCTGCACCCCACTGCATGCTACACACCATCACTGAGTCAAGAGAGTAGTGGGAGGAAGCAAATGAAAGAAGTTACCAACCAGGAATTAACATGGGGTTAAAAAATTGGGGGCTAACAAAACACTGTGACTACTGCAGGGTTAAGATTGTGGTTTCCAATAACAAACTGCTTTACTGTAGAGGTTGAATGAATCTGGTGAGAAAACACCTTGTCTTATGCCCCTTTCTGTTTTTGTGTTCCTACACTATTCATTTTCTATCCATATGTGGGAAATTCTAGCATCCTTCCTCAATAGATCTAGTTTTTATATTACCATACACAGTGATATATAATACAGACTTAAAATTTGGCAAGAGATGTTTTAGAAAACATTGATAACTTTTAATTTATGCTTCACTTATCTGTATATATTCTTTTCATATTTTAAGAGTATGTTTGTAGTCATAATTTAATCATAATTAAATATGTAATTCATTTTGGAGATTTGGTGTATCAGACAGGCTTGTTTCGATGTTAGTCTAACACTGGTATATTTAACTAGCTGGATGTGACACAAGGTCATTTTTATGTTCACCTACACATATGTATACATATGGGCCAAGGACAAAAATCTTTACACTGTCCCCATGAATGCTGGCATTGATGTTACACTAATTCTTCCTCTCTTATTTTGATAAGGAATGTGATACCATAGGGTTAGAATCCCTAGACACCTCTTCTCTCATCTAAAATGAGAAGTAATGTTTACTCAACTTCCAAATATAAAAGGGGAACTCAGCACTCTTCACCATACATTAGGTTATAAGAGGCACAGTGATTTTTGAAGGTAGTATTTTTGGAAAAGTAAGTGTATATGATATAGAGATTAACTAATATCCAGAATACCCAGGTGATATAACTACACCAATTATGAAGAGGTAGGGCTACGCGTGAACATTGAGTAGCAATACAAAGGACTTTAGATTTCATAACAGTAAGTTCAAATTCTGGTCTAGTCCATTGCATTCACTTTTGAACTTCATTTGGTAAGGCATGCAGTCATCTCTTCTCTCCGCCTTTGAGCTATGAGTTAAATCGTGGTTTATAGGGTTGCTAGTCTTTGGTGGTAACTAGTCTAAGAGAATATGGTATCTGAATTTGAAACCTGAAAGAAGGCAATGGAAAACCACCCCACTATTCACAGATAACAAAAAAAATATCTATAGTAGGTAAGGATTGCTTATATCCTGAGGAGACATAGCTTTTTTCTTGAACATTTTGCAGAAACTACATCCGTTTTGTGGTGGGAAAAACAGTATCCTATTCTTTGCACTGGTAAAGTTTGACTTCAATGTTAACTCAAGATCAAGGTTAAATTCTATGATAGGTTTGCAATTTTATTCCAAGAGATGTTTTCTTTGTTGATAACTGTAGCTATTGAGATGTCAGGTAAAATTCAGTTAATCACACTAGGTTTGTCGAGGATGATTTTGGAGAAATAGTTGGGTTAGTGAAGACATATGTATGACAAAATTTTGATTAATGCAATTAAATTGATTATTCACATTTCAATTTCTTTTTTCATTGTTCAAAAACTATTTTGATCAAAGTTATACATTTCGTTATATTTAATTTATTTTTTCTTATGTTCTCTTCTTTGAAGACTCGGTTTGTTATTTGATTCATTTTCATAACATTCATTTGTCAGTTCTTCTATTCATATGCCTTATGTCTGTTTTAACAAAAATTAAAGTTAATGTAAATTAACTAGTTGAAGTATCCATCTATGCAACAGTTCAAGATTAGTTATTATTTTTCTTTGTTCCAGGGCGTAGGTGATCATGGCTCCCCACTACTTCCTGTCCTTTTGTATTTCTCCAAATAAATTTGTCCTTTGCTATCTCCTAATTTAAGGGAATTCTGCCATCTATTTTAAATGGTAAAAATCTACTAAATTTAATTCTCTAAAAATTTTGTAGGTTTTCATCCATGTTATTTTCCTACTTCTCTCATTTGTTCCTTTTTTTGACTTATATTTCAAGAACATTCTGATATTAATACTTTGAAATAATTTAAAGAATTTCATTTTCCAAAATTCCTTCTGCATTATGTGCCTTAGAATAAAGGAATTAATTTTAACAACTTTCTGATGAAATAACATGAAAAGCAGGAAATAGATGTATTTTAAATTATAAAAAAAACAGATATCCTTTTTTTGTATTTTTTTGCTAAAAGTTTCATAAACATGAATTTCCAGTTGATGATCATTCTATTTTAAACTTCAGAAATATTTTTTGGCTAGTTTTTTTAATTCGAAAAGTGTATTCAGCATTTATATATATATTAATTCTACAGTTTTGTTTTTAAGAAGGAAAAAAATTTTCTCATTGAGAAAAGGACAGAAGTAAAAAAATTACCAAAAAAATTTTTTCAAACAAATGTTATTGTGGATTTTTATTCCTTAATTTCATTGATCAGGAAAGAAAGGAAAAAAAAAAAAAGTAAAATTAAATTTGAAGAAACAAAGGGAAAGGAAAAAATAAACAAGGAAGAAAAAAAAGAAAAAAAAATAAAAAAAGAAAAAACTGAAGAATAGAAAGGAAGGGAAGGTGGCAAAAGAAGCAGGAAGTGGTGTAAGTCTTGATGGTCAGAGGGGAAAAGGAGAGAGAAAGAGAAGGAAAGGAGAGAAAGAGATAACCTATTTAATATATCCAGTAGAAATCATTATTT